CGCTCATCAGCAGGAAACACAGCCTCCCCATGTTCATAGCCCGCGCACACCATCACCCAGCACGTCGGGACACAGACACGTCCTATGAAGAAACAGGCTCACTCCGAAATGAGGACCTTGAGCCTGCCTCTGCTTCACGCCGACAGGTTCGGCAGTCGTTCATATCGGATCCTCGACAACGCGTGCTCCTCACACGAACCAACTCGGCCGAAAAAGAGAAACACAGTCAACACGCACACGAGTACGAAGAGCGCAGAGCAGGGCCTCGACGCTCATCAGCAGGAAACCACAGCCTCCCCATGTTCATAGCCCGCGCACATCAACAGCCATCCCATCAGGTGGCTTATGCGTCGGCAGATGAAAGGCCCTCTCGTTCCGACGACATGTACGAGCCTGCCTCTGCTTCACGCCGACAGGTTCGGCAGTCGTTCATATCGGATCCTCGACAACGCGTGCTCCTCACACGAACCAACTCGGCCGAAAAAGAGAAACACAGTCAACACGCACACGAGTACGAAGAGCGCAGAGCAGGGCCTCGACGCTCATCAGCAGGAAACCACAGCCTCCCCATGTTCATAGCCCGAGCACATCAACAGCCATCCCATCAGGTGGCTTATGCGTCGGCAGATGAAAGGCCGTCTCGTTCCGACGACATGTACGAGCCTGCCTCTGCTTCACGCCGACAGGTTCGGCAGTCGTTCATATCGGATCCTCGACAACGCGTGCTCCTCACACGAACCAACTCGGCCGAAAAAGAGAAACACAGTCAACACGCACACGAGTACGAAGAGCGCAGAGCAGGGCCTCGACGCTCATCAGCAGGAAACCACAGCCTCCCCATGTTCATAGCCCGCGCACACCATCACCCAGCACGTCGGGACACAGACACGTCCTATGAAGAAACAGGCTCACTCCGAAATGAGGACCTTGAGCCTGCCTCTGCTTCACGCCGACAGGTTCGGCAGTCGTTCATATCGGATCCTCGACAACGCGTGCTCCTCACACGAACCAACTCGGCCGAAAAAGAGAAACACAGTCAACACGCACACGAGTACGAAGAGCGCAGAGCAGGGCCTCGACGCTCATCAGCAGGAAACCACAGCCTCCCCATGTTCATAGCCCGCGCACACCATCACCCAGCACGTCGGGACACAGACACGTCCTATGAAGAAACAGGCTCACTCCGAAATGAGGACCTTGAGCCTGCCTCTGCTTCACGCCGACAGGTTCGGCAGTCGTTCATATCGGATCCTCGACAACGCGTGCTCCTCACACGAACCAACTCGGCCGAAAAAGAGAAACACAGTCAACACGCACACGAGTACGAAGAGCGCAGAGCAGGGCCTCGACGCTCATCAGCAGGAAACCACAGCCTCCCCATGTTCATAGCCCGCGCACATCAACAGCCATCCCATCA